TATAAAACATTTCCGTGGGCTGGATAAAACATTTGCAAGCTCGTATACATATTACGTACGTGGAAAATCAAGAGAGAGAGAGGGGGAGAGGGAGGGAAGCATATATATATATGATACGTGTAAAAGTAAATGCTTCTCGTACATATATGTACACGTCGTAAGATTCTAATTGGACGGCAACGCCTGACTTGGACCTATACCATGTACTCTGTGTACGTATAAAGTATCTACTGTTCGTCGCTGATTTTTTGTGTCAATGGTATGTTCGGCTGTCCTTTCCTTTTTTTTAACTTTCGACGAAGGTTTCGCGTGTCTTTTTTGTCTCTCTCTCTCTCTTTTTTTTTTTTTTTTTTTTTTTTGTCAAGAGAGAGTTGAGAAAAATGTGCGTGATACTTTTGAGCCCCCCTCCTTCCCCCTCAGTGCTGTACTCTGCTACGTGGATTGTTGTTGCTGTTCGTTACATGTATTATGTGACTGGTGTTATCGAACAGGGTGATATTTTTTTTCTCCGCAAGCAATGCCTGTGTATTTGGTGTAAGGATCATTTGTCATTTTGTGTTTTTGTTTGCTCGGATGTTTGAGAGGCATTAAGGGCGTGATATTACCTCACTGCAGTTATGAAAGTATACGAATAACGTAATTTTCAAGATGCGAGTACAACCTTTGTTTTCATCTCTAGTTTTTAACATGCTCGAATTTGCTCTTCACGGGTGCGTTTTGGTAATTTCTGATGCGAGAAAATGACAATCGAGTAAATAAAAAAAAATCTTTCATCGAATAGACTTTCGGAGAGGATATTTTTTGCTGTCACGTACACAAAAAAATTTTTTTACATTTTGCAAACAAGATAGTGCTAAGAACTAAAAAAATCTTTTGCATGTTAATGACATGTCTGTTTTATTTTATGTAGAATTGTTTATGTCGTTATTACCCAGGGCTACAATACATACCCTTCTAGTATAACACGTGGTCCATATTAAAAGGATACCACAGTGGCACGATCGTACATATGTATGAGTAGAGATGATCTCTATCATCGTACCGATTGAGCTATGTCCCTACGCGCCCTTAAGCGACTATAAATTGTAAAAGATAGTTAATTCGACTGAATTTTATTTGATTTAATTTTTTTTTTTTTTTTATTAATTCGCAATAGTTTGAGAAATTTGTAAAATAAATATTTCTTGTAGCTTTCTCGACCTCAACTGTTAGTGTTAAAAGTGCGAAATAATTACAGGACTATTTTTAAACCATGAAAATCAGGATTTCAGGTATCAATGATAGAAAAAATATGTTTTCTCGTCAGAATCCACGCACAAATATACTTCCATACCATAGCAAAGAGAAAAAAATGCTGATCATAAAAAAAAATCACCATCTATCCTGCGTGCAAGGAACATCCATCCCTCCTACTTTCCAAGCTACTAAATAAAATAAAGCATCTCAATAGAGCTGTAAGAAAGGAAAAAAAATAATAATATCGAAGTTAAATAGAAAAAAAAGGAGAAGTCAGCGATCGGTGCACGGCTATTTATAACGCATTCAATGATAATGAGATTCAAACGAATCAAGCGCGGGCACATGGGCCTGTGGATATATATATTACCCCCCATACTGTACTGTTACACACAGTAGTCGCGAAGAGAAATTGGGCAGCCATAGGTGCACGTGGCGTGCGGAAGTGCTTGTACAGGAATCGAAAGTGCGGATGGAATTACGCGTCCATCAGTCAGTGTATGGGTACATATATATGTATTTCAGGTGCAAAGGAGGGGCGGAGGTGAAAATAATAAACTAGACTCCTTAAGCCACGAAGAATAGGACTGCACCTGACTGCCGGTTCCCAACAATCGCGTGGCACTTTATATGTATGATATGCGTGAGATCGCGCGTGGGTGTATTGCAGCGCAGTGGATACATGTATACACGGTGCCTTGCACCTTTATACGTTCCTCGCGAGTTTTCGACATTTAAGGAGCACCTATATACTATATACTCGTACACTGCTAGAGGACAGGGGAAATGGAAGTTATCGAATGCTCGCGGAACAATGCGTCTGTCGTGTGCGAATTTTTTTTTTATTCCATCGTAGTATGTAGTTGATCGCGTGTGGTTTATCGTAAATTTTTAAAGCCCAAGTAAACAATGTTTCATAATAGTATCGTGCTTTTTGGTCGTTCGAGATTTTTTCACGATTTTAACACCTAGCTGTGGCTTATTACGATTTTGTTTTATGATTTAACGGAGATTCCTGCTTATGCATAATATACAGGTACACAGTTTAGAAGTGTAAATGGTATTGAAAACATTGTATTTCACCGAAAAATGGACTTGGGAAAGTCGAGTGTTTAACATGAAATCTAAAATTGTTTGATAGATCATTGTATACCTAAAAGCTTTAACTTGTAGTGAAATCATTGTGTACCGCTGATTCTCTTGTAAACAATGTAAAAACATAAATTGCACACGTTTTATTGTATAACCCCGCAAAATCAACATCTCGAACAACAACAGCAAGTACTTACATTATAGTATTACATTCGGCCAATGTACCAACAACATAGCTTTGCGATCGTAAGAATATAATTCGCAAAAATTCCAATGGCTTGTGTACATGAAACCCCCATCTCTTACTTCCTGGCCCAAAATGAGAACAAAGGCGATGTATATTGCACTGCGAAAGAGCACTTTGATTAAGAACGGAACAACAAAAATGTTAGCTATACAGCACGTATACGGCCAATCAAACCTTCCTTGTAGCATATACAAGTACTTGCGAAAAATCAGCGACTGACAACGGTACACCACGCCCCAGCATCCATCCGTCCAAGGAAACGTGCATGCGTGCACGGACACATCAGAATTGAAAAGCACACCCATACACTGCACTTTGACGATCCGTGGGCTGGATAAAACATTTGCAAGCTCGTATACATATTACGTACGTGGAAAATCAAGAGAGAGAGAGGGGGAGAGGGAGGGAAGCCGCACGTGAGATGTATACGGCCGATACATAAGGCGCGATCCAATTAAGGATAAGTGCATGCAATGCGCGGCTACGTTAACTCCAAACGCACACTCATAACACACGCACACGCGCAGTATATAGTTATGTTTGGGTATACTTCCGAACGCCGCCACCAGCTGATTTATTTCGCGCGTTAAGATCCTCATTTGCCTCCGCGCCTACGTACCTATATACATCGTATGCCTACAGCACATTATATACGGGTCCATTCGACTTCCAGGAGGAAAGAGCCCAGGGCTTTCCCTCGCGTATGTTTTATTTATGTGTACGTATGCGTCCGATCCGGAAGCTGTGCTGAGCCCATCGGGAGCACGTATGCGAGAGAGCAAAAATGGGCCTCCACGGCAATGGATGGATGGACGACTGCGGATTTTCGACGACGTTCAACGTTAATGAGAGAAAATTCGGAGAGTTCCCTCTCTCTCTCTCTCTCTCGGACCGATCTCTGCCTCGTGTGTATACGTATGGTTTTAACCTGCGGAATTTTGGATCCGATAAGAGTGTTTTTTCCCGTGATTCTACAATTAATTACGTGCACGAGAGTGCTATTTTTTTTTGAATTTTTTGTTAAAATCATTTGGTGGGTAAATTTTATGAAAATTAACAGAGAAGTTTGGTCACTGAAACACGAATCGAGAACATTACTGGAACTCTGCAAGTTGCTGCGTCTTTTTGTACCAAAGACATCATAAAGTTTATATTTTATAATATATCAGAGAGAGCCTACAATTTTTATTAATTCGAAAATCACTTGCAATTGGTCCTAATAAAATTTCTAGGATTATATTGATTCAATATTTGGCATATTACGAAAAAATATTTTTAAATTTATATTTATTCATGTACATATGGCAATCGACTTGGAAACATCGTAGGTCCTTAAAACTCCATTTTTTCACCAATAACGCGTAAATGCTTTTTTTTATTCTATAATCAATTTTGCATACCGATAAAGTCCACGATACTCCAAAACAAACTAGCCATGTGATTTTGGCTGAGTTTTCCAACCCATATGATCCATGAGCTCATGCCCTATGGGTTATTGCACCGATTTCACTGTGCAAACACACACACACGAGCCTCGAAGATTTATAAGCTTCCCTCGTAATTAACCACAACGTTATTTCGCTTCCTTTCAGTCACGAGCTCCAAACCTGCGATTGGCCCCGCAACGTCGGCTGCCCTGAAAACAGCTCCCCCTCCAAGGACATCGACGAGGATCCACTGCTCGAGAGGTGAGTTGAAACATTTTTTCCCCTTCTTTCTCCATCATCCATCTACTTTATTTCGCAACATCAAAGCCAATAGCTCATTCCCCTAAACTTTCCTCCTCCGATTTGGGAAAGTCGATGTATTTCCATCCTCGTTATACCTGTTAGAACCGGCTCATTTGCGCTGACGGCGAAAAGTGTAACTCGCTCGCGGACGATTAATCTTCACTATTATACATCTGCGCGTAATACCATAATATGCTAAGCGAGCCGTGCGGTAAATGCTTTTTTAATGGCACGTAATGTATTTGCCCGCCGCTCGGGTGGTTGTGATGCACGACCGGTTGTTGAGGAGAGCGTCTGGTTTGTTTTTGCCTATAGTGGTTGGTTTTTCATGCGCACCATCTATGCAACATAAAACAAACATTTGGCGTGGGACTCGCTGGAAATAAGTTTGTTTTTTTGAGATCTCAACTTTGATTTTGCCAATCGAACCGCAGTTGCTTTTGATGATATTTTTCGCCTCCGCTAGAATTTCCGGGAACGATAGGGATCCGAAATATTTTGGGTTGGCTAGAATAGTTGGGGGAGAAAAAAAATAGGATGAATTGGAAAAACGTTTTGCGAGCAAGAATATAAATTTATATTTTATTGGCTCATTTAATTGAAGCCGTAGACCTTTGGAGATTTATAGTCACGATCGCGGATAACGTTATGTGTGTATATGCAAAAGCTTTCGACTGTACGGCGTGGTGCAGCAGTTTTACGGTGAGCTTTTATTTCAGGTCGCTTTAGGCTTGTGGTTTTGGTTTAGTTTTTTGATGTGACATGTAGTTGTATTTCTTTTCTTGCGTAAAATGTTTTATAATGAACAAAAAAAATGAATTGATGTAGTAACACGTCACAAGTATCTTACGTCAGTAGCTGACAAATGATTGATACGATTGCTAGTAAGAAGGAATAAGTAAGAAAAAAAATGGCGTCTGGAACAGGCTTTAAAAAAATTATATTGATGTCAATACAAGGAATATGGATTAAAAAAAAACAAAAAAACATTCTAGATAGTCAATCGGAGTTCGAGGAAGCTTTGCATTAATTATTTTGGTGACTATTTTTTTAAGTTCAAAATTATCTAGGTATAATTTATTGCAGTAGAAAAACTAACAGACTTAGCAAGAAAAAAAATTTACCAATCTGTCATTTCTTCAGACAAATATTTCATTCATTATTTAAATTTGACTTGTATAAGAAGCAGGAAACACGATTTTCGTATGTAATTATAATCTCGCATTTATCAATCATCTGGTCAATGCTACTAGAGTTGATTATTTTAGAGACGTGGGTATTATTACAAATAGTTTTTTCTTCTTCCTAAAAAGTCCATAGAATCAAATTCAGACTATTGATGGTTTCAGGTAGTACAGAAAAAAAATCGCCTTTAATTTTTAATGTATTCGATAACAGTATAGGTAAAGCTGGATAATCATCATGAAACGTGTTAAATTGCACCAGAAAAGAAGCAGGAAAAAATAATTACGAACTGATTTTAATTCGTAAAAATGACGAGTACGGTTATAAATAAAATAGTTATAAAACATTAAACTGTCCCCACTTGAAATAAATTAAAAAAAAAAAAGAAAAATTCCTATTCAACTCTGAAACGTAAACACCAGCTCTAAAATAAACACTTCAGGTGCTACAAGTTATATAACAATAAATTCAACCCGTCATCAATCACATGCTTCAGTTGGGGCTCCCTTGAATATTAAAATTCTCTGGATTAGATCAAAACACTGTCACTGCTGGGCATCAAGCTGGTCATTAAAAGCAAACGGGCATCGGTATACAGAGCCATCAGCTCTCATTAACGATCGTACTCGAGTTTATAGCCGGGCTAAACTATTCACGTATACGTATCTAATACGCATATGGTCTGGATAAATCGTGGCTACTGCGTGGGTGAAAGGAAAAGAGAGAGATAGAGGAAGGTCACGAGTCGTTTTCGAATGGAGTGGCCAAGTTACGTGGTACACCTTGCCTCCACGTGCTTGCACGATAGATTGCTAATGTGTAACACATGCCTACTCGAGATATGACCCTCCCGAGGTGATTTCTTGCGCTCAAAAAGCTAAGTACTTGAAGGTTGGTGAAAAGTCTCTTTGTATCTCTTTTTTCTTTTTTTTTTTTTACTTCAAAAGACAATAAGTTATTAGTATTTAGATCTTTATGAAATGGCTAATCAAGTCACCTTTGCATTGAGTCATTGAGATACACTGCTTTTCCATGATTAACTTTATGATGACTCTCTTTTGTAAAAATGAGCTTATTACAACTTATCTTTTGCAATGAAATTAGTGAAAAATACAATAACGGAAGTCAGTGCCTAGTATTTGTCACTAAGATTTTACTTAATATTCTCTTACACTCTAGTAAATTTTCACTGGCTCATAGATAAAACATAGATTTTCAATGATTCGGAGATGAAGTTTTAAAGGATAGGTAACAATATAAAAGATAATAACGATAATAAAATTCATTATTGCAGTTTGAAAAAAATATCGTGTCTTCAGTGAATATGACGCAAAAAGGCGCAAAAAAAGTAAGATCAGTTCCAAGAAACTGCATCACTTACAAAACCACAGTGTAATACTGTTGATCCAAGCGGCAACCGCATATAGGAGTTCAGCTTTGCATCATCCCAATTTAAACGTCACGCAGGAACGTGATTGCCACGAAGCCATACTAATTAGTGCTTCTTCAAAAACGATTGACTCGCCCTCCCTAAAGAAATCAGCCGTAAAAATCGACTACACTTTCCATTTGCAAATTTTGCCTTTTTTTCCATTCGATTGTGCTTTCATGTGCACGTAACGATCACGATTCTCTTCTCCTCGTTAAATTGTTATTTTTTTTTGCTTCCCCTGAAAACGAAAAAAATGTTAAAACAGTTGTCTAAATTGTTAATTACGCGATATCAATCATTATTAATGATGTAGTGAACGAAAAATTGGCCATTTTCCAACGGAGAGCCGTCATTTCGAGAACAATAGTATAATAAGTAGACGATTTTCAAGTGGCCGCGCAACGATTTCCCCGTTTAATTTCCTCGATGGTCTCTTTTGCATTCGCGTGCTGCCATCAGTAGAGTTGGATATCTCAACTGGAATTTCATGCGGAATCCCTCGAAGAGTACAACAGTGGTGTCGAAACAGCAGCCACACGAGAGTTACCCAAACCGGAAACATTGAAACGTATCTCCGGCGTATGGTTTGGCTGAGCGAGAGATCGGGGCTGGATCGGCTTCTTTTCAAGAGAAAAGCAGTGAGAACAGATGAGACTTAAAAGACAGACGCGCACGTAGACAATAAACAATGAGGGGTAAAAATAAAAGAAGATGAGATGAGAGGGGCAGGTGGAAGCGAAGAACAATTGGAAACCGCAAGGTCCCGGCATTGGGCAACCGATTCGCGTGGTATAGGTATGCCTATATACCAAATTCGGAAGACGTTTTTCATCTCTCTCTCTCTCTCTCTCTCTCTCTCTCTCTCTCTCTCTCTCTCGAGTACGGATGGCCCTCGAGTTTTTCCGAGCCGTTGATTTCGCGGGAGGTCGTCGTCGAGGCTTGCCTTCTTTCGTCACCGTCATCGCAATGTCGCCGTTTGTACCTGCAGTGATGTTGCTAATGACGCTGCTGTGTAACTGTTGCTGTTGCGTGGCGGTGTGTGCCATTAGATTGGATCTCGGGGTGGACTTTGTTCGTTTTGTGGCGATGATTTGACGCGGAAGACCATTTGTTTTGCACGAAAAAAAGCAATTTCCTTCGCGTGTTGCCGTATTTTTGCAAAGGAAATGATTATGTTGTCATGGTATTTACAAGGTGCCGTTGTTTAGTTGCATTATTAATAAAAGACCCTTTTTTTATTGTTTGATTTTACAATGGGTTAATAAATATATTTAATTTTACTTTTGATGGATGCAAAAATATAGGATTAAGTAATTTATTTTTATGAAATGGATTCTTCTTCACAAGTTTTTGCGTATATTCGAGGAAAAAGAACGTAACGATCCGATTTTTTTTCTATCAAAAAAATAATGTTTGCAGCTACCATTTTCCAGAGTATCAGGAAACACCTTTTTCTCAGATTAGCCCTCATTTATCTTTTCCAACTCTTATTAATTTCTATGAAAAAAATAGATCAACCCCTGTATATATTATCTGACGAAATATCTTTTTCCGATTTGTGCATTACAAGTTAAAAATAAATTACCAGTCCCACAGCACGAAATCATATGACTTGTATTCGCGTTTTCAAATGTTTTCTTTAATTTCCAAAGAACGCACACGTGAAGGATTAACATATTTTGCTGGTGTCCATTAAGAAGCCGCCAATCATTGCTTGTTTAGTTACAGAAACTTGAAATTATATTTCGTAACTGAGTCTTTGCAATGACGGACGTGGTTTATTTACTGTCCTCGTGAAAAATATGTAATCTCTGCGTATAAAAGTAGCAAATTTCGCTTGAGCGATTTCTCGGGTGCAAAAAGTGTCTTTTAAACTTGTGCAATTTGAAACAAGCAAGTATGGTTACTGTGAAATTCCAAAGTGCAAAATGCTAAAGCGCCCCAAAAGCTCGAGTAAACCGAGATAAATAACAAAAGTTACAATTCTTGATATTGGGAACAGAGAATGGAAGGAAGATATAAAGACAGCACTTTGAAAAAATAACTCCTTACAAATACATTTTTTTTAATGAAAATTACAGCGAACTACATAATCATCACCTTGTAACGTAACTTGTAGCGACAAAACATCACAATTATACAAAAAATACCTATAAATCCTAGTCTCCCAAAAATCTCTAACAATCATGTACTCATACCAAAAATTTATTACAACCTGCGCCCTCCACAGCGCACTTTCGCTGCCATGGGTAATCAGTTCTAATTTTATGTATACATACACGTAGAAGAGGTAATGAAAAATCGTCGTGGGTCATTCGCGGCTAGCCGTGAATAATAATAATAATAGTAATAACCTTAATAAATAAATCCCACCTAGAGAAAGGTGCTGGTCCCTCGTGGAGCCTCGCGTGTGAGCTCCCGCTTTACTGCGCGTCATCGTCGTAAAACTGCGCCCGCAGCTTCTATACATATATATATATATTCTTCTTTTTCCCCATCTTTTTACTTTACCCGGCAAATATGACTTGCGGGATGTATTCTAATGCGCATTATATGGATACGCGAATTTCGAGGCTGGGATAAGTATCTCGGCGTTACTTCACCTCGGCTCATTTTTACTTTACGGCGCGGTTGGTGTCCCCCGATAGCGAATTAGAGGCGAACCGCGGATAAGCCCCACACAGCGTGGTTCTTTGGTCGTTGAATGGACATTGGAAGTTCACGTGTATTTCTCTCCGTTCCCGCAGTCGTGTCTCCCACAAATCGCTCGTGGATTATTATAATTATTATTTTTCGATTAATCTTTTGTTTTATAAAATACCGCATTATTTTTACCCGAATAATCATACGTGGCACCACAAACCCGCACGAGATCAGTTCATCACTACTCGAATTGTTTATTACTTTGACCTTCGCCTAAATTGTGCCAATGAGCCATGCTCGTCCTCATCATCTGTATGAAATCCAATCTCTCGAAACAAAACCGGCAATGAAAAGAAATGACAAAAAAAAAAAATTTCCTTCTTGTTACAGAGCTGAAAAAATAGAAGTCATCCAGCAGCAGCAGCAACCTCAAGCTCGTATCTCTAACCATCACCACCATCAGCATCAACAGCAGCAGCCGCAACAGCAGCAACCACAGCAGCAAATCCAAATCCAACAGGTGCACCAGCAGCAACGGCAGCCCCAACCTCAGCCGATCCAGAGACAATCGGTAACTGTGTCCTCACCCTCCGTCTCTCCTGCGATTCTGATAGATCGGCAGCATCAGCAACAACAACATCAACAGCAACAACAACAACAGCTTAGACAAAGACAACAACACCAACGTACTTACCAGGACGACGAATACGAGCCTGCCTCGGAGATCGAGAGCGATCGGCAGCAGAGAGTCTATCGCGGACAGCCGTCGACCGTCGGTCAGGTAGCCCGCGATCGCGATGGTCTCAGGAGGAACATCATCACGGTCAGTTCTTTCTATTTTATTTTTATTTTTTACTTTGGCGCCGTTTGTCGTTTTCTATTATAAATAACCCTTGAGAAGAGAATCTTCTCAAAAATCACTACTATACCAGACGAGGAAGTGATCTTTTAAGAAAAACTATTCTAAAGATTTTCGTACGGAGGCTCGATCGGCTATCGTCCCTACTGGCGAATAAATCGGTAGTAAGAAAGTGCAAAGGAGAGCAAAACGAATTTATCGCGATCGCTGGAGACAAGTATGCGTGTATGTATCTGTTGCGCTTCATTAGCCGTCCGTTACTCCCGATCGCGACGCTCGATTTCACTCTCCGCGCTCTTCCTCTATACCGATCTCTTACACGTGTACATGTATCCCTACTGATGATTGGACGTTGTGGATTGGATGTACACATATACGTATGTGCACGATCGATCTACAAATTGAGCGTCATTAGGCCAAGAGTCAGAGATGAGATTCCGCGCGCGCGTGTGTACAAGAGATGTCTCTTTTCGTATCGATTTGTCGTCCGTGGGCTTGAGTCTTACTCACGTCGAGAGTGCGATCGGTAAATCGGCACAAGTGTTAAAAGTAAAATAAACAGACAATGTAAAATTATTTCTCCCCGATGAACGATCTTCATATGAGCGATCGGTAAGGCTCCCGGAGGCTGCAGTCTTGGAAACGTGGAAGCCAATAATCGTAATGCGCCGAGATCGCTTCGATGATAAATTAAGTTCAAGGCTCGGTAAAAGTGCACGCGAGTGCGAGAAGAGGGTTCGCCGAAATTAATATTATTTCTCTCACAGCTGTAAATTAAAATCTGCTCTCTGTACGAAAATCCCTTGCCTCGGTATTATTGTGCACACAGGTGGGGTTTCGGGCATCCAGCACATACTAATTAATAGTATGTTTGAAAGCGCGTGCGCCAAAGGGGGAAAAAATGTGAGAAAATTTATGGTGGCCGCTCGAGATGATGAATGCGATTTGTTGCTTTCAGGAACGGGAGAAGGACAGGCTGGTGAACTCGCGCACGCAGGCGGAAACGCATTACAGGTACGTGCATACACGTTCTTTTTCTTGTGCATGTTGTACGAGGCTGATGCGTGCAGTCGATGGATGATGATGGTTGTGAAGTGCGTGGGAATTTTTCCGTTTGGACCGTTGAGTGTGTCTTTTTTTTTGGAAAAGTCAATTTCATGGACACGATAAATGGTGATTTAAATTGAAATTTTCATTTAAGATCCAATCTTGTTCTGCAGAGACGATGCAACGCATTTCTTTTTTTTTTTTTTAATTAATCAACTATTATCATATCAATGGAACAAACGAAATGAGTAAAACGGACACGTTGTACAAGCGTAGAGACTACGGATGATTTGCGCGTTTTTTTTCACATCAAATCAATCGAAGAATCATCTGTACTCTTTAATTGTGCACAATTACTGCGCAAAAGCTGCCTCGCTTCGTGCCGTCGCGCATAGTATCCTGGAGCTAACTCACGTGTCCCGTATTATTCTTCTTGCCATGACTTTCGCAGAAGCGTGTCATCGGAGTCGCCACCGCAGAGGATCGCCAAGGCGAGCGCCTCGACATCCGCACCGATCGTCTCAAAGTCGTACTACAGCGAGCCGGACCAGAGTTATCCTTACTACACCATCTACGACGACGACGTCTCCATCTATAAGGACGACGGTACGTGTTCGAAATGGACTCGCGTGTGCGCTTGTTCGTCCCCGGCCGTGCACGTGCGTTACATAAAGTCGCGAAAAATACGAGCTTTCCGTGTGCAGGTATTGGTTACTTTGCGCTCCGCTCTCTCGATTAGGCTTTTTTTGGGGCGGCGGCGCCTTACGTAAAATATAAGCACCGGCCGGGGACGGACTTTCTAAAGAGCAACGACAACGCCCGGCTGTACACCTACTTACGTACCTTCGCGGTGTGTACCGTGTGTACTTACGCGTCGATGTCGGTGTGTTATGGGAACGGGGAATGTATACCTTTTTTTTTTTTGTTTTTTTTTTTTTTTATCTTTCGTCGAGAAAGTCGATTTTGTACGCGAAGCGTGAAAGCGAACGGCGTTAGAAGGACCCCCCGCCCACTCTGAGCCTTTTTTTTTTTTTTTTAAAAAACCGTCGACTGATTGTTACCGATTGCCTATATACCTTTGTACAATTATTCGGGGATCTTTTGTAAATGGCGGCGTCTCGGGTTTTTTTTTCCATGTGCTTCGAGTACAATAATGAATCCATACAGATTTCTAATTAGGTTTGTGTGTTGCAATAGCAACGGGGTATATGCAATAATAATGTCTTTTGTGAGGCTCTTTGAAATTATTCATAAAAAATCTTACGTTTCAAAATCCACAATAATAAAATGCAGAGTATAAATTGCGCATCGGGCAATCAAAGAGTCGTACGCACATTATAAAATTCAAATAATCCATTTGAGCACGCGAGACGTATAAGTTTCTCACGTACGATCGAGTGTATTTTCTCGATTTCCCGAGAACACCGCAACTAACGCACAAAGCAAATAGTACACACGGTGTAAGGCAATGGTTCTCTTGGAATTAGCACGCCTTCGTATAACATACAATCGGCAATTAACCAATGCTTCCCATGCCTTGTTATTTTATGCGAAGAAAAAAAAAAAAAAAAAAAAAAGGTGCCCGGCACTGCAGTCCCATTTACATGTATAATTGAACAATCTCGGCAAGATCTTCCGTTTGTTTGATTGTTTTATCCTCGTCGTCCTGTGCAGACTACGGCCCCTTCCACGTGAACCACTCGACGCCCATCCAACCACCCCCGCCACCACCACCTCAGCAGCACCAGCAGCAGAACATCAGAGCCGAGGTGTCGCCCAGCTCGAAGCCCTTCTCCCAGAAACCCAAGAAGGTCGCTGTTCACGAGGCCGACAAGTACAACCTCAACCAGGATGTTACCATTCAGGACTACGATATTTATGATAATCAGGTAGCTTTTTGTCGGACTCCTCCTCGCGCTTGAGGGAAATTTTTTTTTTCTTTTTTTTTTCTTTTTCATTAACGAATACTTTACGAAATAAATCGTTACCAAGAGCAGTGACGTTTGATGACATTTTTTCATTTTTTTTTATTGATAACGTTTTAACTCAACTCTTCTGTACTTACAGCACATTAGCAAAAACAAATTCCGCATCACCGAAGGACAATCGCTCAGGTAATAATCCATTCTTATTTTTAGTACATTAATACTTGATACTGGGCCAAGTTCAGCTGATATAATTGAGTGTAGAAGTTGAATTTCATACAATTGAATTTATATAGTGCTTGGTGCTAAACACGATCTTAAGATACACCCACATGCTTATGTGTTTAGACACAGTATGGTTCGTGCAAACTCCTCAAACTGTTAGATTTTGAATGTATGCATAATTTTTCATGACTTAAAAATCTATCAGCAAACACGAATTAACGTTGGATTGTGATGAATTGTCGATACATAACGTACGATCAAATGAAATTTTTGTTTTTCATTTAAACAATTTATGATTTTAAAAACATCTTTACACGCAGCGTTATCGTGCAAAAAAAATTTTTTGCTATTTATGAATCAGTAAATGTTCGCAACACTGATAGATGATGCAACGCTGTAGTTCAATTGAAATTCGAAAACACCTGATGGTAAAAATCATAACAGCCCACGAGGATTTTATTAGTCCTCTTACCTTTCGCCCGGAGCATTTCTTACTGAGCACTATTATTTTTTAATGACGAGCGATACCGCAAAATTTCATCTATTTCACCAGCAGATATAATAAGCTTGTTTCACATGTACAATAATAAAAGGAAAGAGAAAAAAAATTAATTTTCACACCACAATTGGATCATTAGCGCGACGCGTTCTTACGCAACAGAGCGAGGACAATCGACCGCACTTCTAATTGGACTTGCCGCAAAAGTTATGATCCATCGGCACCCGTTCTTCTCTCAAGACCAAAAACGAGATTGCTCCTTTTCCCATTTCTCGGTTTCCTTATTATTATTTCTTTTTACTGACCCAAACCAACGAGTAAAATAAAAATAAAAAATTAAAAAAAACACATGCCACCGTTTACGCGTTTTGCTATACGTGCGTCTAATAATCGTTAGGTACTTTTTTTTCTCGAGGAAGAAAAAGAAATAACATCGTTACGTAAAAACTGAGCTTCATTTTTTGCTGCTTTCTTTTTGCCTTTTGGCTACACTTTGGCTGTAACCCGTAGAATCAGGTGAATTGAATTCCAAACGTATACATCTAATTGATGAGATGAATCCCGTCTCTTTCATCAAACTTTTTTTTTTTTATCGATCGTGGATAATGTTTTATTCATGGCACCTTGCGAGAAATTTTTTTAATCGATAGGTACGTGAATGCTACTTTTTTTCAGCGTATTATTCATTTTAATTTTCACGTAAAAAAAAGATACAAGTATTAATACAGCGGACAAAAACTCGTTTACACCCGCTATTTCTCCGATGAAAATTATAATAAATAGAAAAATTTCATCGATTATCACTTGCAACATTGTAAGAAAATTTTGTTGGAAAAAGGTAAAAAAAATAAAAATCCCGGATTCCTCTTTCTCCAGACCGAACGTGATAAGCCATCCAGTCGTCCACGTGACAACGCCAAATGCCATAATCGACTCCTTCATCCCGTTGACCACGACCACTCAGAGCCCACCGGCGACCAGCGCACGGTCCTACTCTGCCAGTTACCCACCAAAGTGAGTATCGATAATATATACCTAGCACACACCAATCTATTATTGCGGTCACGTGAAATAACACGGTATATAAGACGAAATGTTCGGACACTGTTTTTTTTTACCGATCGCCTATTTAGACACCAATGAAAATTTTGTTTCAACCACGTACGGAACATCACATAGGCTCCTGGGAGTATCTGCCCTATATACTGTAGGACCTTTTTTTTTATTACACGTGAGGTGCAATGAAATACATCGAAAAATCGGTACAGGCAGCCCAACCATTTGGTCTGCTTGATTAACGATTCACTTTCCGAATACAGTTGCGCAAAAAAATAACAAAGATCACAACTCACGTCAAAACGATTCCCGACACTCCATAAATCGGCATCAACGTGGTGACCTGGAGATGGAAAAAAAAAAAAAAAAAAAAAAAAAAAAAAAAAAAAAAAAAAAAAAAANAGGCGATATCCTGAAACATCTCCATCAAGCTGTACCAACATGCTCGAATAAAGAGAGCGAGGAGCGAGAAAAAGAGCCAAGAAAAGAAAAAGGAAGACACGCGAAGCAGACCAGATCCCTCATACATATGTACGGTATTTTATCGGGGCACGGGCTGTAAGTATATACACGCGATCGCCGTACACACAATGCACATGTACAACATGCAAGGTACATAAACTTATTACACTCACATACTTGTGTTACGTACACGTGCAACGTGCGTTATGGATAAGTACATACACAAGGAATATACAACGACGCGGCGCCGGCGCCGGATGAAAGTGTGAAAGCTGCCGGCGGCGTGCACGGCTGCTGCAGGCAAGGTCGCTCTCGCGTGTGTGTATGTATATATGTACACCACGATCGGCATCGACGACGGTGTACATATATATTACTTAAGTAGGCGCCGCGCGTATACATTATCGGCTCTGTGTCGTGTACTCGAAGATACACCTGTCATCTCCTAGGCTCCTCTGTGTATATGGGCGTTCCAGGAAGCCGGCTGTTAAAGTATCGCTGCAGTGGAAAAGGAAGCCTCTATCGGCGACCGAGACCCAGTTTTCGCGCAGTGAAACACACTGTGGTTTTATGATACGAAAATCGGCACGCCAGAGGAGAATAGACCGAGCTAGTGATGGTTTGTGCGTTTTGCGAACCGCCGACTTTCACCTGATGCATCTGTTTCGCGTCTCTTGAGCCGAGTGGCGGTAGATTTTTTTTTTTTATTGTTTTCTGGGGGTACAACAGTGGCGTCGATAGATTCACGGAAGGTCACTCCACGGGAGGAATTATTTTGTTTTAATTCACGATAGTTTCATTACTTGTCCACGTAGTTACAGACTGGCTTGTGATTGTGTTATACAAGTGCACGTCCAAGTGTCACTCGGCCGATTCGGTCGAAGGGTAGAGACGAGATAATAGGATGGGTAAACTAAAAATGTTTAAATCCCGAGTTTTTCTCTGATTACCTTCTTAGCCCGTATCACAAAACGTCTCAAAATATGTTATTGACTTGTGTTAGTTACTCATTTCTCTGGAAAACTTTTTTTTTTACTCTACCGCCAATTCCAATTAGTCTAATATTATTACATTGTTGACGTCGACTTTTGTTTTTTAGCAGAACCCGTCAACAAATCAACCGTGGAACAGCACCTCCGTAAGTCTTTTTTCTGTGGTATTTATTTTAAAAATATTGACATGTCCGATCCATGAGATCGGATTTTCGGATCGGCCACTTTATTTTAATTATTGGATGACTTTCTAGCTCCTTTGAAACGTTAAATTACAACTACACTCTCGTTGCTTTTGAGTTGAACGGATGTGCTTATACCACGCGAATTCATTTAATTTCCGTACAAGAAATTACATAAAATTTTTGTAAAATCATTCAAGCCTTTCAGCCATGAATATACAGTTTTAAATTAGGAAAAAAATTTTTTTTTTGTAAAAATATTTTGCTGAAAAAAATTTCCCTTTGCTCCATAAAGTCAAAAGGCTTATACACACCCACTCATGTTACGAGTCAAGTCTCCTATTTGGTGTTTGATTCAACACGTGTACCATAAAAGGGCGTGTAACTAGATCTATTATTTTTCCCTCACTCGCATCCTCGCGTAATCGAAATCGGCAAGACACCCAAACCAAACCAAACAGCGGGAACAAGATGTGTTGCTCGCCATTTTCCATCGCGAACCTGTAGATACATGTATTTTTTTTTTTTTCATTCTCGAAGGAGACTGCGCCCAACCCTCAAGCCATCGACGGAAATCGTCTCAAAGGTCCAGGAGTTCGTCGACATCTATCGCCACCCTGCCATTAGACCGGCACCAATCTACCCCACCCCTCAGGTCGACAAGCCGGCCGCCAAGTGTCGCAAGGACGTGTGTCTCCTTCCCGACTGCAGCTGTGGTGGTGCTGATATACCAGGTATGTCCATCACTTCTCATTTATGGGTGCTTTCATTCGGTTTTGCGTGCAGTTGGAAGTAACGATAATCAGAGATATGGATAGTACGAATTTCATCTTTGAAATAAAATTCCCCCTTACGTTTAAAAAACTCATTGATAAACTGCTCCAACCAAATTGCCGATATTTAAAACTACCACAAAACAGATAGTATCTTTTCAAGTAGCCAAGACTATGATTCTCTAATGGATTCGTACTTGATGGCGATTAACTTGACAAACGGAAATCGGCTGGTAAACCGATTTTTTCTTCCCAAAGTCAATGAATCGATTTATTAAAATGCAAATTAACAATGGGCGGAAGTCGTTTGGGAGTGACACTCGTGTATCGATAGCGTTAAGTTTACGACGTTGGAAAAGATTTTCACTGCTATACTTATAGTATGCGTATCCATTAGCCACGGTGATCTCAGATCGTGATTATATCTCGATGCACGGCGATATTTGAGCTCAGCTTCATTTTTGCATTATGGGTGTACAGGTATACATATACTCTTGTGTATGGAATGAAGTGAAGTTTTCATTAGAAAAACTTGTTCGTTAAAACATACAGTGCTCCAGACAACAATAATAATCACAACGGACGAACAACTTCCTCGATGCCAATTAAAAGAGGTTTGTTCAATGGGAAGCTCAGCCCCTCGATCGGCTGAAACGAGTAATCATCGCTCCGACGCTCCTTGAGCGGACGATCGGTAAACGAAAAAAAAAAAACAAAAAAAAAAAAACAGATGCACAACCAGCGTTTGTTTGACTTTAATGATCATTCGCTCAGAGGGAGAAAATAGAGAACTTTCCTGCCCGTGAACAATTAAATAAACAATGCTACCGACTGGCTGATCGTATGCCCGATGTGTCGTAATGTGGTAGACCTTACCGATACTTTTGCGCTCCCTCACGATGTAAACAGTCAAGTGTCGAGTGGCATCTGAAAATTCGAGACTCAAGACGACGTGGACGCAAATCAAGCCATCACTGTATGGAAACAAGCATGTATAGGCATACAAATGTGTGTATAGAATATGGAAGCGCGCACGCGCTCGTTTACTCGCCACACGCCGATTCCGACGATTGATTCTTGGGACTTTCTCCGATTCTAACGCGCGAACGACTTTGGTACGTGTACACACACCAGCTCGCGGATACTCGCTCGTGCGCGGCACGCGCGAAAGTAAAACATATGTATACAGTGCACGGGATAGGTGTACGTGGTGTGAAAACTTTTTCGCTTTCCTACGGTATCGTACGCGTGGAAAAATCGGTTGTATCATTACTCTCCTTATGAAGGTTCGATCTGGATGATCGAGTAGTCGAGATTCGTATACATGATTTAGAAATGATTTGTACACGCGTGGTTTATTTTTTATTTTTTTATTTTTTGATATCCCAAAGATTTCTAGAACCGAGGTATTTGGTCCATTTGTAGTAAGAAATTTTATATATACGCACCAACGATGTACATATTTTTTTGACAGAGAATCATCCGTATAGCCGGATACAATAAGCGATTCATTAAATCGCATTACGCGCGTACGAGAATTCTCAAAAAACAAATCGACTCCGCGAAATGACCCAACGAATAAGGTATGCTCGTATCGTTATCCGCTCGTAATAAGTAAATCGAAGACAATAAATATCCTACGTACAAGGTACGGCAAAAATATCGCACTAACGACGCATTTCCTGATGCGTACACCGAAAACAATATTCGTATACCGTAAACCTAATGACAACGTGAAACAAAATGTAAAAATCATCTCGCAACGGCACGCGCACACGAACATGCATACATAAAAAATCAACACAACACCCCATAAAAGGATAGAAATCTCTACCCGCATGCACGAGCTCATTTTCCATTCCGTGCCGTAGATTCGGGATAATGGGTTTTCAAGCACAATGGCTCCTCCACTCGTTAAATTAACCAGGAAACGTGTGCCACTCCATGAAAAATAGGATAATTCTGCCACTATCAGCAGCACCAACTAACGCCCATCCCTTACAACGCGAGATCGGGAATTTACACACACACACACACACACACACACACACACACACACACACACACACACACACACAGAGACTCGCTCCAGCGCGTTCTCCGATATATACCGGCGGATTTCGCAAGGGCGACAATATGTATTACAAAGCGCGTGTCCTTCGTTGGCTTACGACCGCGAGTTTATAATAATAATAATTGGCCGCGCGGGCGTTCGCCAATGGCTGCAATATATGCACTTAAGTGCCATTTCATGGTGCCCACTGTGAGAACGATACCGATCTCCGGCGTATCGTACACAGGCCGGCCAACTCGGGCTGGGAAATCGTGGGTGGAAATTGCAATCTAATAACCCAACGGGAACACGCGGACGGACAATCGCTGCGGTGTGTATTGTATTTTTTATGCGCTTGTTGATTTTGCGATCGGCGAAGGGGTGGGGGGAGAAACGAGCGCGGGCCTGCTCCCGTGGGAGTGGACAGCTGGTTGTTGCTGCTGTTTGCGTAATAACGCGGTCGAGGGCAAGGTATTTTCTTCCACTCCCCCGAAGAGTTTCGTCGGTGAAATTTTAAATCGCAAAATAATATTTACCACGGAAATCGCCCAAGTGTACCGATGTACAACGCGTTATCTTACCACACGACTACTCGGTGCGCAATAATAACAGTCATATTTACGAATGTATATTTTTTCAAAATGTCTCTCGTGCACTTAAACAGCTGCGTTATTTCATAATCTGCCGGTGCAGATTTTTCCAAAACGACCGTATAACGGTAAGCGCCCGCAGTACAACTCGGCCTTAGCAATGTAAATGTTCCGATAAGCATCGCCGTAGGCCGCGCTTTCGATCAATTAACGCACCACTGGGTAAATAATACATTTTTAAAGATAAAACGCATTTATTCTGCTCCACCCGGTGATATTGACAACCGCGACATCAACGGACCGACTCCACCTCCGCTGTGTATAACGTTTGACGAGACACACCCAGCCGGCGTTTATACACGTGTGGGCATGTACATGAGAAGGGTATACAATAATGCATGTACTGCATCGGGCGCATTAGCGTGTCGTTCAACTCGTCCTGCCTTCCCTGTATGGCCCACACGCTCCTATAAGCGCAGCAGCAGCCAAGTAATATACGATATATAGGCCCACATGAGCGCGAGCAGCGATCAAACCAATTAAATTTGTCACTTGAGCGGCGTCGCAGCCGCTAACTTTCTTAGCCATACGCGTACACACATGTGTACCTCAATACATGCATGCAGGTAGTGTACGGTTGCGCAACTTTCACCCCTCCCTCCCGTCGGGTCTTTCCTCCGGGAGATCGGCACGCGATTACACCGCGGTAGTCCCGCTAGACCCACAAACATTATAACGGCACACACGCGTCCTTTTAAAATCACGAGCAAAAGAGATAACGTCGCTCGCCGGCTTATGGACACGGGGAGAGAAACGCTGATAGTCCGCTATGGCAATTGGAAAAATCGGCGAGAAAGTCGAGCGGTTTTTCCGTATGCTCGGCTCTCCGTGCGCGCCTGCTTTTCCCGCTTTTATTCGGGTAATCGTTCCTGTGGGCGCGCGAGCTCGGTGTGACTCTGTGCGTATGTATATCGTTGCTCGGACTCGATCTTTTTGCGAGAGAATTAAAATCTATTGGTTACTTGGCGATTATTGATTTTTTTTTTTGTAGTTCTCGACAGTGGCTTATTAATTTTAATGCTCCGCGGGTAATGGGATCGATAACGCTGATGGGTGATCGTATCTCGTGGGATGACGATTTTTTTTTTTTCAACTAGACTGGGTACTTTAAAAAAGGGGAACCGATTTTTCGTTTGGGGGCTCGATCGTTTTCACCTTTGCGCGCGTGCGAACCGGAAATCGGCAGCCGATTCGCGCACTTGTTTCAATCAACATCGATCGGGTTGTCGGCTCGAGAGAGTCTTTTGCCAAAAAACCTTGAACTTTCGTTGGAGTTTTTTTGCGGCGCAGCGTGTACCTGTACGCTTCCTGAAAAGAGGAGCGTGTGTTTATGCTGATGACTTTCTTCGGTGGGTTTTTTTTTCTGCCTTTCGGTACACGTGCTTGCGTTTCTAATGATCGGGAATACTCACGCTTAAATGCACCGGATCGGCTGATACTTTTTGTTTCGCTGGTCTATTTTGCATCGAAATCAGTAGTCAAGACATAACGATGGCAATGAATTTTATTCCAAAAAATAAAATTTTGGTGCTTATCAAATATCTCTGATGCATTACTTCCAACTGCTGACGATGTTTGTATACTTTAAATCTTGATGATGAATCGGCAACAAAGATAATTGTATAGTTGATGAATTTTTATAAATTAGAATCATAAACGAAACTGAATGTTATTTAAAATATACAAACTTTTAAGCTTAAGTACAGTAGAGCTTCTACACGCGTAAATGTAAAGTACAGAGAGGAAAAAGACTTTTTTTCTATACATAATGTTCTGCTAAACAAGTACATGTTCGTATGGCGAAAAAAAAAATGTTTAAGTGGTAAGAAAAAAACGAAAAGAAACGTCCAAAGGGAACGATCGGTGTGCTCCTCTTGTCGATTCTTGTGTACCCAAAAAATTGTCACATGCTCAAAGGATGGTGCCCTTGAAAGAAAAAGTAACAACCACCGAACCCAAACATCAAACTAGGTAGCTTATCACCGGACGAGACGCCGCAGATAGTGCTGTTGACCTTCGACGACGCCATAAACGATCTTAACCGACAGCTCTACGCCGACCTGTTCGAGCAGGACAGAAGAAATCCCAATGGGTGTCCGATCAGCGCGACGTTTTACGTATCGCACGAGTGGACGGACTATAGTATGGTCCAGAACATGTATGTCGACGGGCACGAGATGGCCTCGCACACCGTTTCGTAAGTCTGTCTGTTTGTCGGGCTATATGCTGTCCGATCATTGTGGATAACCGAACGAGCTGTGTGACTTTTTTTCCACGTGCTCTACATTGCGTGGGTTGTGATTGAATGATGAATATAGCCATTGATACGGTTCTGATGAGAAAATTTGTAATCACTAACGCTGTGAAGGTTCGTTAGGCGTATAACGTGACTGCTCGTTATGAACCAGAGTTTCGGTTATTCCCATAAGCATCTGGATGAATATCCAATGACCTGCAACACCTTATGTAATTTATGTACATACATGGACACACATTGCAGGTACAGATCAAATTTTCAAAACGAACCTCATTGGTATCATTTTCCTACACAACTAGCGTATCCTCATCCCATGCAAACCATAGCCGCACCAACCATACGTGTATCGAATTTTCCAATCTATAACATGATACGTGCTCTCTGACCACTAGACGAATCCAACGTAATACACAAACACTCTCTCCCAGCCATCGGCGGATGGAGAGGAAAACTCGTGCCAACCGATTGGGCGATTCATTAAAACGATTAGACCCCACATTTGCGGTGCTTACTCGCGAAAAGTCTGATCGATCGCAAGCGCGCCCGGCTCTCGCGACAGATTTAAAGACCCCACCGTCACCGCTTCGAGATCAACCTCGGATCAGTCCTTAAATTATTGCTCGATATCGTACACTGATAATATATACCTATAAAGAAAAAAAAATCGATGACAAATGACGGCATTAAAAAGTACCAATAGCTCCCACTGCGTTTCTGTACCGTATCGGTGTTATTAAGCGTACCGATCAAAGGTAGTAATCGACGGAGAGCGAGCCAAGTTAATACTCCGCAGATAACCCGGGGGTAAATAAATCCCCGCAACCTGCGATCAATAACGTAATCATCCCCGACGCGCAGGAAGAAAAAAACTATTGTACACACACATATAGGCGCGCATCTGTAAACACTCGCTTCTTAATAAATCGGTAGCTGTAGCAGTGCGCGTACGTGCATTGGGTGGCCCACACCGAGCTGAGAATTTAATTAGGAAACTATTTAATTAACACGCACGTCTTATCGCGTGTATAACGTATACACGAGGGTCCGTTGGATCACTAAATCACTTCCGACGCTTTCGTAAGTCCTGGATTCAATCTCGCTGCGTGTGAGTATACACTTGGTAAATCATTCGATCATACGTCTCTGTGGTGTGTATACGAGAGTTCTCTCTGCTGATGTTTTTTCCGTCGCGGACGTGATTTAATAATTCACGAGAGAATCGTTGTACCGCGCACTCGGAAGTAAATGCGCGGCGTCCGGCTGATACTGAGGCTTGTTACACACTGTTTCCCTCACTCACTTTATGTTTATGTACACACCGGAAGAAATGCAGGGACTGCTGCTGCTACTGCTGTGGTTTTTTTTTTTTTTTTTTTTTTAACATACAATCTGCACATTTTTTTGTTCATGTGTATAATCCATCATGTACATCGTGTATATATTATACATGCGTGTGCATAATTTTGTTAGGTGTACGGCTGCTGATGCACACTCGATTTGTTCCTAAGGACGTTGACTTTTTTCGTTGTCACATCTGTAGGTATCAAATATGATGATTTTAGGACATCTTGGAAGAGAGAATTTTCAGCTGCTCTGTTATAAGTATAATATATGTTGATGAGCTGTGTATACTTGTGAAAATTTTATAGGCATGAAAAATCACACTGTATATATATTAGCAAAGCAAACACAAAGTCTTTTTACTTAAGCTGTGCACAAAATTTGAAAAGAAAAAGGCATCCTCTTGCTCAAAATCTCAAGCATCGATTTTTAAATTCAATAGCTACCTACTTTGTTAATCGTATGTTGAGCAAAATAAGTAAAGGTTTCGGTTTGAGATTAATAATTTTTGACGCTGCACTTGCATCCAAATGAAAAAAATCCATGAGATTTGACTCGTGAATCTCAAACCGTTGAATTGTTTTTTGAAAACATATATTTATTATTGATACGAAAAATCGATCAAGTAACCATATGCCTTTCTCCCCCTGTTTTATCGCAGACAACAAAGGTAAAGTAAAATTTAAAAGCCAATAACTCGACTTTACTGCATTGAGCGCGATAACCATCCCAGAGTTAATAACGATATAAATAATCATACCGAAATCGAGTCCAACGACAGGTGCTGGCACACATACAGCACAATATTTTTCCGCTCGCATACGGTATCAAAATGGACTTTTCTTTTCTTCACTTTCTCTCAAAAGAGATTTGTACACTTCCAAGAAGCGCACCATCAGCTTTCCAACGATTCCTAAAGACGAGCCGCGTATTTATACAGCACACCCGATTCTAATCTTTTCCAAAAATCTTTCGAAAAAATTCATTCCCAAAGTACTTATTTCAGATTTGTATGGTATACATCACACAGCCATCGACATATATGTTACAGCGGCACACTTTCGTCTTCCGCGGTGTCCTCCGATGTAAAGACAAATACGGAGCGTTTGAGTAATACAACAATCCGCCGAAGAGGAAATCTCGTCTGTGTAAAAATATACATGTACATAATATATACCTCCAAGCACATACGAATGAAGACACGGTATTAAAAAGACGACGCGACTTTTCTTGTACATACGTATACATATTCTGTACATTAGGCACTTCCGAAGGGAAGGAGGAAAATTTCTCCCGAAGCCGTATATTATAACGCGCTTCGTTCATTAACATGCAAACGAACGGGAGAGCGAAGAAAAAAAAAAAAAAAAAAAAAAAAAAGAAAGAGTCACGTCAAGCGAGAGTTTTCTCCTCGGCGGATGTGTACACACATGTGTTTTATAACACACTGACCGATCATCTAATACGATGTGCTAATACAATAATAGTATAACGATGCGATCGCAGAGCTAACGAATTAAACAACAAATAATATGGAAGCTAACTTATGTGTGTAAATGTTGTTGTTTTTTTTTTTTGTTTCTTGTTTTTCCTGCTCGGCCTTTATCCCACTGTACACAAAAACGCACATGAATACGCACGTGTCGCTCCTACTCGCGTGTCCACCGATGCCGTTGCTGCTGGTTACACCGATCGACATTTCGCAATGACGTGTATCACGGCTCCATCACGTACGTATCCACTTGTGCATATCAGGTGACTACCTGCCGGAGGAGATACCGCAGATAGTGCTGTTGACCTTTGACGACTCGGTCAACGACCTCAACAAGGGACTTTACGCCGATCTCTTTGAAAAAGGCCGGACGAATCCCAATGGGTGTCCGATCAGTGCCACGTTCTACGTGTCGCACGAGTGGACGGACTACAGCCAAGTGCAGAACTTGTACGCCGGGGGTCACGAGATCGCCTCGCACACCGTATCGTGAGTATATATGCGGACATATGCATGTGGTGTACATAATTGTATTGTACTGTAATTTTTTTTTGTGCGGATATTGTACATACAACGTCCTTACTTTTCCCTCACCTGATTGTAGGCCAAAAATTTTCATAAATTTTGTGTGTGTTATAACAATGATATCCATGTGTAACGTGTTTGTGTAAAAATGCGTGCTGCTTTGCGTGGGCTTTGGTATGGTTTTGCTTGCTTTTGGGAGTTACGTGCTTTGACACCTATATATGTATATGTTTGCATTTTCAGAAAGATGTGTATTTTAAGAGATTCTTTCGATTACTACTGTGAAAATTTCCCTACGAGGTGGTTTGTGGATAATTCATTACTTATGATTTTATCAGATGTTTTTAATCCTTTGATCACATCTAAACAAACAGGTGTACAGTACCATTTTTTTGGTTTTGTGTAAAAAGTGTTGCGTACCATATCGTATCCTAATACGATGGTATTGTCATAAACGGTGCATGTACAGCAAAAATCATTTTTCAAACCCAATTGATCGACCAACGTATAACTCTGAGCTCTCGTGTTCTTTCACTGTGCTTCATAGTTTATGTATCTACTCGCTCGTGCAGGTTCGGCATTGAAATCTCTTGTCCGTGTCTCCTCGTGTGCCGTTGCGCGAGTCACTTTTGCCCATTAAACCACATGAAACCCGTCATCCGCTGACATACGCGCGCAAAACGCAAATGTATACATGCATAAACCTTATTTTCTCTTTACGGCTCGCTGAAGTGGAGCCGAAAAATTAATATTCCCGTGTCCGTGCCCCATTATTCGAGTACAGTCGTTTCATTTGTGACCACTTTGCGTTATCGCGCGCGTCCCATTCGGTACACCATTTAATAGTCACGGCACGTATGATATGTGCGTCGTGCTGTTTCGTGAATTGCTAACGAATCATATCACAAATGAATGGACGTATCGAGTGAAGTCGTACCCGGCGAAATACTTGTTACATCTGTTGCGAATGTATGTCTTAAAAGGGTTGGTTGGACAAATGGGATCCTCGACTAGGTATCTCCAGCTCGTGTTTACAGTACAATTTATGACAGTCTTCTTTTTTGTTTGATAGTAAATTATCGGAAACGATTCACTTTATCAGATACAGTAAGATACATTTCCTATGATTTTTTACAAATTAATATATCCGTCAAGTAAATATATACAGTTTGCAAAATGCGACGTTTAATCCACGTAAAGTTTGAATAACTCGCTTGGAAATTAATCTTAAAATTCAATGCGGACATCGCTAGAGAAATTCACCGCGATGAGTAAGCACATTTTCGCGTATGCGCACGATTGCAAAATTAAAAAAATTTTACGTACACACGTACGCATGTAGCTATGGTATAACCGATCTTACACTCTCGAATTCGCAAGTAGCCGTACGCACAATTTCCAAGCGAATGAAAAAATAGGACCCTATAGAGGTACATTAACCTCGTGCACCAAAGCTGATATCCCATACTTTGTCGAGGATCCTCGTGAGTGTAGTGATGCTCGAATGAGTAATTGTAGGTAACTGGTCCAAAGATGTAATTTTAACGAGCTATCTTTGTCCTTGTTGCATTGACGTGCAGTCATAGTTTCGGGGAGCAGTTCTCGCACCGAAAATGGTCCCGCGAGGTTGCCGGTCAACGAGAGATCCTGTCCGCTTACGGAGGAGTGAAACTCGAGGACGTCAGGGGCATGAGGGCTCCTTTCCTTTCGGTAAGTACACCACGTGTTTAATACTCTTTTTATGTAACATGTAGCGTTAGGTGGGATGTTCCGGCATCTTGGAGGTGAGAACTGAATTTTTCTCGCACGGAGAGGGACTTGAAATTATACGACCCGTAGGCACGCAAGATGGATTTATTTACGATCGCGGATACGCATCATTTTAGGGAACAATGATACGCTTGCTGTCTCGAGGAGCTTTTTTGCTTTTTCTTTACTTTTTTCAATTATATTTATTTCCGATTGGACTCGGATGAACGTTTTTAATAATTCATATTTTACAACCAACTATACAATCGAATGAAAATAATGTTAAAAAATCGCACTGATTTCTCAATAATCGTATACAAAAATGAGCTCCAAACGACTCAATCCGAGAAAACGAGTTTTTGATTCCGCGCCGCGGACTCCCTTGCGACACCACACCATCGCCAAGCACACAATAAAACGATTCCATCAATCTTCGTCGCGCGCGCCAACACAGCCGCGTTGTGTGCACGCACGAGATGTCAAAACGAATTCCACGCGCGTACGCGCGCGAGAAAGAGATACGAATCAAAAAGGCATCCCTCGCGATCACGAATCTTCGCGAGAATTAATTTCCACGGCGCGCTCTTTCCGTGCGTGCGACGTGGGTGTTGGGGAAAAAACGCGGAGCAATTTTTTTTTTTTTTTTGGCGTTGCGCAATACACCCTCGTCGTTTAAAAACGCATCGAGAATCCTCGGTTGTGCGATTCGAAAGGAAAAGGGAATGGCGAATGAAAAAAAGAAGGTTTTTTCAAACGAAGAGTGATGGCAAGCGCGAGAACAAACAGCCCTTTATCCTGGGGATCGAAACGCCTCGGGATACATCGACTCGTGCCGAGGTACACTCGCGTTGGTGGTTATTAAGTCTCCTCGCTCGGGATGAAAAACTTTGTTATAGGCAACACATTTTGCGCAATACTCTTTATACGTTCGTTGATGACAGAGAGCAAAAAAAAAGAGAGAAGATCCTCTCTCCAGCGCTCGCTTCTTTTTTTTTCCTTTGACGTGAAATGACGTTCACTTGCGAGCAGTTCTCGTTGTCGTTGCTATTGTTGTGTGTGCTGCAGCTAAGGAATCGACGTTCACTTTTCGCGATTTATTATTATTGTGGCTGACAGATCGAGGCTTGTGGGCGTCGTGGGACGACGCGTCCCCGTTGATAGACGTAATAATATGCTATTTTTTGCGATTTTTATATCAGAGTGGCATCGATGATACACTGTAGAAACGTGTCGATTCGAAGAATCCGCACGAGTGACATTTGAAACAGTAAAATGCGGTTTGGCGCGTTATAAAATTGCGTTCAAGAAAAAAATCCCGTAGGTTGGCGGTAACAACATGTTCAAAATGCTGTGGGATACAAACTTCACGTACGACTCGTCGATGCCGATCTACGAGAATCGGCCGCCAAGTTGGCCCTACACCCTCGACTACAAGCTCTTCCACGATTGCATGATCCCACCCTGTCCGACGAGATCCTACCCAGGACTCTGGGAGGTGCCGATGGTCATGTGGCAGGATCTCAATGGAGGCAGGTGCTCGATGGGTGACGCCTGTAGCAACCCACCCACCTCCGACGGCGTCTACAAAATGCTGATCAAAAACTTTGAGCGACACTACACCACCAACAGGTTCGATGATTTTTCTTTTTCTTTCCCGCTTTTTTGACACGACTGCTTCCCGTCTAGTATCATGTATTTGTGAACGCATGTGAATTGTATATTTTAAAGTTAAATCACAGGTATTCAGGTAAAAAATTTTGCAATTTTTGTAAACTGGTAAGATTTTTGTAAAAATCGTAAGAGCCAATTCAGTGACAGCTGATTAGACTTGTTTTAAACAAACGAAAACGTACTGTAAAAGAATCATCGGATACTTCAACTATTGAACCGTCTGCTCGTTAAAATTGACATTCTCGTAGACCAACGGCATTCAAACGAAACCCAAAGCCGAACAATGCAACGTACACGACTCACGTATACACACACATTATACACACGGGCACCGCAGACATCCGAAGAGCACATAATCATACGAGGGAAAACTTACTCAATGTCAGGCGGAATTAATTGAAAATTTATGCAGACCCATTGAAAGTTCATTAGGCGCATTCAAGGTATACGGAGGATAAAAAGCGCGCAGTACCCATGCGTGTGCACTTGCGCGTGCATCGGACGCTTTAATAAAGCATTTGGCGAGTGTCCGGTGGAGGGGACTGACACCAAACAAATAACCCGACTTTTTAATAAACTTACATAAGCGATTGCGCAACGGCGCGCACAATGTATGGTTGACTCTGATGAGACGTGCGCGTAATTTTTATTAATCCACGCGTACTAACTTTGCAGTTTTTGAGGGTGAAGTATTTCTGTTGTTTTTTTTCTCCTTTTTTTTCTCGAAAGCATTAAAATAATCTTAAAATTATAGATGAAAACAAATATTTTTCTCACTGCTTAACATTGTCCAATGTTTTAAACCCATAATTAATGTTGCACACCACGACAATGCTACAATTCAACAAATTCATCTGACGTACATGTATATTAATCGATACGAGACAAGGTATGTATTTGTTGTTGTTTTCGCCCCAATAGAGCTCCATTTGGACTCTTCTATCACGCGGCGTGGTTCACCCAGCCGCACCACAAGGAGGGCTTCATCTCGTTCCTCGACACGATCGTCGCGATGGACGACGTCTGGATAATCACGAACTGGCAGGCCCTCCAGTGGGTCAGGAACCCCACACCCCTCGCCCTCCTCGACAGATTCGAGCCTTTCGGATGCAACTACGCCGTAAGTACCCCCCCCCCATCTTCCCTCCTCCAAAACGTCTAACCCCATCAACTTGGCATTGATTTTACCTCGCGTATTGGGCCTATCGATTATTTGTGTTCGTGTTTTTATTAGGTTTTGAAATCACGGGGTCAAACGTAACTCTGTGTGAAAAACTCGCGCGCTTACTCTCACTCGGTGAATTTTTTCTCGTGCGCATTGTGAGAAAAGTAAGTTTTACGTGAATGCATTATCAAAAAAAAAAAATAATTCAAGCAAATCGCGGGAGAATAAGGAATGCAAAATAAATCTCGGGCTTAATCGGCTCGAGCGTTTCAAAGGATCGTTGCGTCAGTACGGTTTGCGTGGTAAACTGCGTGATGTATCAGATTCGAGAGAAATGCGGAGTTATAAGTGGCCAAACGTTTCGTTTAAAATAACCCGAGTTGCTCGAATGTGTACATACCAAATCTCGATCGGGATGATTTTCATTCAAAGTACATTATCCAATAATCAACGAAAATTGGAATGAAAAAAAAAATAAATAAAAAATAAAATAAAATGAATAAGTAAAAGAAGTAACGATCGGCAAATTTCCCAGGACCGACCGAAAAAGTGCAACAACCCGAAGGTGTGTAACTTGTGGCACAAGAGCGGCGTGCGCTACATGAAGACGTGCCAGGCCTGCCCGGACATTTACCCGTGGACCGGTAAAACGGGAATCCGCAGCAGTCGCATCGACAACGACATCGACGGTCACGACTGAGCCTCGCGATTCGCTTATTGACACACGCACACGCACACACATACATAAAACACACGCGAAATGCCTTGCATGCATCCTCCCACGGAACGAGGAAGAGGAAAGATGACTTTTCTCGCTCTACTCGTCGTTGTGGGTATGTACGTGGAGAGGACTTTTTTTGCGCGAGTAAGCAGTAGTACTCGTGCAAGTATGTTTTTCTTCCTTTTTTTTTTTTTCTATGGAAAGATGTGGAACTACTGACCAACTTTGTTTTCGGCTCGAGCTAGTGTGCGTGTCGATTCTTGGAATGTAGATCGTTGTGAAGGACTCGGTCAACTTTTTTTTGCGGTCCACGCGTACGCACGGTTGCTGGCAATGATAATGCAATCGGTGGTGTCATTCTGAGATTTTTTTTTTTTAGGGATAATCAAAAGAATGAAGTTTTTTTTTTAACAAGTGATACAGATTCTTTTTTTTCGATATTTTGTGAAACTAACTTGGCGTGATTTTTGCGAAATCGAATCGTTTCTTGATGGTTCGACGATCGAAGGTTGGGGCGGAAAATCGGCATTTATACTTGATTTCGCAAAAGTGTCGCTTTGGTACGTAGATAAGTGAAGAAAATATTTCCGACTTGATGAAATTTTGATGGACAATAATAATCGCATAATCTTAAAGCCATTTGTACTTTACATTTGTAATTTTAGCTCTACAACAATTTATTCCGATGGATCGAGGTCAAAGTGGAATCGTTTGTAAAACTTGAATTTCGACAATCAACATGAAATAAGATCAAGGACGAACTTAGTTCTCTTTTTCATCCACTTTGACTTTGAACTACTATCGTCTTTATTCGTAAACTGTAAGTATCGTTCTATTTTGATTGGTGTAGCTCCCTTTTTAGCAACTTAATCAATATCTTTGAGGTTGACGAAATACCTTGCTTTAATAATACTCAGTTTCTCTCACAGCCAACAAGAGACGAGTGGACGAAGCTGCAGGTACACAGGTTTTACGAACTATAATTTAAAAAATTTCATATTCAATCAAACAATTAAAGTTTCATGTATATTTGACAAGGAGTTGTTCGTAAGATGTGTGATTCCGCAGTTCTGTCCACTGTTGCGTCCACGAATCCGTCCTCTCGGTACTGCAGCGAATATTAGTAATTGTTTATACTTACAAGGGACGAACTCGACTGAGCTCGAGGAAATCGATCGAGTACGCCATGGGATCAGAGAAAACACGGTTATTGAAATCGTAAGCAATAACATCGAAAAAGGGTAGCTTCGACAGCCGATCGTGATCGTACGATTGCGTGGTCTCTTGCGGCCCGATGACGTATCGGTAGGCAGACTGACCTTTTCGCGTTGATCGACGCATCGATCGCCGGTCGAAGATTTCCCCTATACATACGTGAATGTTCACGTTGTACGTACGTATAGGTAGTTTGTGTATCTCGTATCATTACTTAATTTATTATCTTATGCTTTTTTGTAAAAATTTTGACCACTTCTTTTCACTTGTTCTTGCAATTTTATCTTCTCTCTTTCTCTCTCTCTTTTTTTTATTTTCACATATTACATAGTAATAGTATATTAGCCAATAAAAATAGGTATATAGTTAGAGATCCAGGCGTACTCGACGACAAAACTAGATAACTAATTGTAGCGATGGAGTAATTTTTTTTCTTGAGAAAAAATAAAAAAGCAGAAGAGCATGCGTTTCCAGGGTCATTGGGTGAAGTAAGAACTGCCCTTTAGAAATTTGCAAATTGATGCTCGAAACACGTGCATATCGATCCTCGACGATGAAAGAGTTCATTTCATTCGATAAGTTAACTTGGAACATAGGAAAATTAAAAAGTATGATTATGATTATTATTATTATTATTATTATTATTATTATTATTATTATTATTATTATTATTATTATTACTATTATTATTATAATCATCATCACAAGCGTTAGGTATTTTTGTACGTCATTAAAGTTTTAGCCCTTACAACTAGAGTTGAAGTATTTTATTTTAACTATATCTATAAAGTAAGATGAAGATTTGACTTGGCGAAGAAAAAAAAAAGTATATTATTCGAGAAACAATGTAAATATATGTATTCGTAAGATAGACTGCTTGAATTTTTGTACTCCGTGCCTAGAGAGAGAAAAGAGAAGAACTTATGTGTATTTGGTGTATACAGAGATAATGTTATCATCAGATGGAATATTACTATTGAGGAACGTAGGAATGTCATAGGGAGTTGAATTTTTTTTATTACTATTTTAAATTCCAGTAACATGACAAAATTCTACACACTTAGTTTATAAAATATCATACTTTAAGTTCATTATTTCTGCAAAGCGTGTCCTTCACACGCACACGTACTACAAAACATATTACGAGATGTGGCAAGGAGAAAAAAAGAGAGTTGACGTGTATGTAAGGCTCGTCATATGTAAGAGTCGGGAATCGGCAGGGAATACAGGATGTTGGACCAGTCGTTGAGGTCGAAGGTGTCGAGGTCTTGCCAAGTGATGGCGTTGTGACAGCCAATGTTTTCTTCCCAGTAGCTGGCCATGTTATTGTAAATCACAGCCGACCAAGTCTGCACGACGTGACAAACGATTAATTACGAGGCTCGTTTTCTCCTTGATGTCAATTTTTTTGCGCATCTCCAACGCCTTTCATTTTTTTTTTTTTTTTTTGTTCTACTGTATCATTCGTCAAAACTTGTATTATAATGACATTATTCTTGTATCAACTTTTGTAAGTTATTACTCTACGTAAATCAAATAAATGTATGTAAACTTATAATATATCTCCGATTTCTACTCTTTTTTTCATCGTATCCTCATATCCATCACGCCTACTATGATAAAACAAACTTACGGTTTTGTTGCGGACGATCCAGGCGAGCGTCATGGCGTTCATCTGAGATTCAGCGAATTTTTTGGCTCGGCGTAATTTGGCATTCGTCAGAACAGTGTTGGAGTGCAGGAGACTAAAGTAAGCGCAGAGCAGTAAATAGCGAGGTTTGATAAAGTTTGTGCTTGCCACGATTTTGTCCAGTGTTTTTAGCAGTAACTTTATGTCCACCAGAAGCAGCTCCATTTGACTGCCCCTTTTCATGTTGATGCAGCGCGTGAGCAGCAGCAGATGACACTCTAATATCTGATGCGTCAAGATTACAATTTATTTGAAACATTCTTATCAAAGTCCTTATACTCCTAAACTGGATTGGTAAAAATCGGCCGATCTTTTCATACCGATCATATCTACTCACTGAGCATTTGTTTTGCGCACATTTATCTAAAGGCACCATTTTACTGTTAAACCAGTGAGTAATGTAAATATAGTGCAGTAAGTAATCAGCAATTTATTAATTAAAGTTAAATCCATCTAACTCTTTCAATGACTATTCACTAATATAATATTTAATGACACTATTTCAGCTGTTTGTACGATCATTATTCGTTTTTCGTATTTACCGTCTTTTCATCACAAAAAACTATTTACTTTAACTCAAAGTATAGATACAGAGCTTCCTGTTACTTTGCTATACAATAGTTATAATAACGTGGATAAAAACCTTGCACAGCGTTATGATCTGCGAGCAATCGTCGAGAACTACGTCGTGCATGAAGAAATCCAATTCTTGAACGAAAGTCATGGACATCAGATCTCCTCTAATAAAATATCATACAATTTTTGAAAGAAAAAGCCAAAGGTTAGCATGTGACAATAATTCATCATTACTTTCGTAGTTGCCATAACCACAATCCAGCCACGAGACGTTTGAATCCTCTTGGGTCGCGAGTCACGCAGTAACCCGATTTTCCAGCTTTAAGTATTTGAAAGAAAAAAGATATTTATACGCGAGTCATAACTATAAAGAAAGAGCTAGCGATGATATCAACCGAGTATTTTGCAGGCGTAACTAGAGCAACTCTCAAAGCTCTCGACGAGCAATCCCGTGTCTAAAAACAGATCCACGCAAAGTGCGTAGTACCACGTCAATGCCGATTTATCTATGTCCTCGACTGAGTAATCGCGAAGCTGCTGCAACATGTCTATCGTTTCACAGACGCGTTTCAGGCACATCTGTGCGATGTGTGTTTATCATTTTTAGGTTTTTTTTTTTTTTTTTTTTTTTTTTTCATTCAATAAATTATTTTGTCACCAAGATCAACTCACCAATGTCTGAATCAGGGATACCAGCACTTTGAATTTTACTCGAATGTCGTGAAAGGCCTTTGCCACAGTGAGGGCCTTTTCCCCAAAATGAACTGCTTTCCCGAGGTATCCTCGTAGCCAACTAAATGACGTACTTTCTTAATTTTTTTTTTTTTTTGCCAAAATGTTGTTTTATATAAAAATTAAGTATTTTTACTCGCCTCGTATTAAAAATACACGCATACACGTGCATCAATATTTCTATATCTCCGCTGCTGTGCCATTCTTTTTTTTGACGTATGACAAATAACACGTACTCCTCAACCTGCTTCATATACGAAAACTGTCCAAGCTGTCCATAAATTTTCGCAAAACTCAGATACAATTGGCATTGATTGTGAAAATTGCTTGGTTCGAAACTTGAAAAGCCGAAGACAATACTCTGCGTGGACGCAAGTTTTGCTGCCTTGGGACGATGGTTCAACTGCAGGTGTGTGTATAACTCGTGGATAAAAATAAATATTGGGTGTTAAAGTGACGAACTTACCACAAGTATCGTAGAAACCAAACTCAGGCTCATCGCGGTATTTTGTCGGACGACGTTCAACTTTTGCTCGTGTTTCGTTTTTTCGGTACCGGTGTTGGTAAGAGGGTGAATGAGTATCCAACGGGCGGTTTGTTTCATTTGCTCGTACATCGTTCTGTAACCCGTTAACAGCTCGTTCGTGGTAAAATTGGTCTTGTACAGGGACAGAGCCTCACAGAAATTGGTTTTTGCTTGTGGATAATTGCCGAGAAGCAAGTAAGCTTTGCCTACGAGGACAAAATGTACGAACAAAATTGAAAACAAAAAAATTTTGCAGGAGAATTTAGCAGGACACTGGTGCAGGTTTCAACCTCATTGGTTTTTAGATTTTATCAATTGATAACATAATTTGTTTTTGATGAAACCGAAGGTAAAAACGAGAATAAAATTTTGATTAAAACCAACCAATACTTTGAAAGTTCATTGAGTCTTTGACAGAGAAAAAGGTAATTTATATCAGAACTGATTATTTATTTTTAAAGGGACCAATTTTTAACGTAAATATAATAAAATGGTAGTAGAAATCCATGTCAATGCATTGAATTTGGGATCTCTCAAAAGAAGATAAATAACGCACATATACCTCTCAAACAGAGAATCGTGCTTCTCTTGATCGTTTTTTGATGTAGTACTCCCTTTTTTCGAGAGCTGCTAGCACTTGAAAACTGAAAAAACAAAAAACAACGTGTATTAAAAATGAGCGGAAAAAACGAGAAAAAATTATAATCGTCATACGTCATTCTTTTCGTCCGCCTTAGCTAAAAAGCTCAGCGCGTAACCAGGCTGTCCGTGATTTATAAGTGCTGCTGCATATTCCATCTCAAAGTCGATTATTTTCCCGTAATTGTCTAAATATTTTTCGAAAAAAAATCATCCGATTGAAAATTATGTCTTTTTTTTCACTAATAATTATTTAATTATAATTTTTCAATTCATGATATACCCGTGCAGTCAAGGTGGTATTGGAGTCTTGCGTAAACGCAATCGATGTAACTGAGGCAGTAGCAGTTTCGAAGATCCATGTAATTGAAATGGCTCAACTGAGAGTTCAGGTCAATTTCATCGCACGCAAGGGGATGAACTTGGGAATTTTTTCTAAATATTTTTCTCGTGCGTTTTGGCTTATCGATCACTCGGTGAGCACTGAAGCTGGGTAAATCTGTCGATTCGCACGAATTTTTTGTTTCACACTCGACAAACAGTTATACAGGGGTGAGCATGATTATTTTATAAATTTTCAAATACCTTTTTTTTTAAGTATAACGAATTTTGAAGTAAGTACGTGAGAGAGTATTTAAATATTTGGTGGAAATGTCAACAGGCATAATTAAAAAAAAGTATTTTAGTTCAAAAAATGAATTAATGCTCAGCCCAGCAAACAGCTCATTAGAAGCTGTTTTTCGGACGTACCATCGGCGTCATTAGTTTCAAACGAGGTTCCTTGACCATCAGACGATTCTTGGCTTGGATCTTCCTGTAACTCGCTGTTTATCGTCAGTGTCGAGGAGCTAAACCGCGCCACCATTGGCTCGAAATCACTCGACGTGACGATCGGCACCAATGGATCGGACGTTTTTTTCTAAAAAATCAAAATCCTCTTAAAATGTAGAGTTTTTTTCTTTATCAAGATATCGTGGGTGTCTTACCGGTTTATCCTTCCCGGGAATCTTGAGGAAAGGCCCACCCCCGCAGGCAGTGCATTTCCTCGCGTCAATCTTGTAGATATCGACGATTTTTTCGTGAATCCGTTTTCTCTCGGGCTCGGGTATGTTGTCGTACATCTCATCCCGGAATACGCCAACTTTGAACTCCATAAATCGGCAGTGGGCGTAACGCGCCAAATCCACCTCTGGAGGTGGAATGTCTTAAGAAAGATAATTTCACTGTTTACTTTATACCTATTCACAGTGAAAACTCTAAATCGAGACGACAATGCGACTCCAACATTGAGTCAAGAGTTGAAGCTGTCAGAAGCCGTTTTACCATTTGTATGGTGTGTAAATATGCGTATTGGTGTCGGGAAAGGTTTCTTACAGCGTAGCTGGCAGCGACAGCGCAGCAAGTGGTGCATGTCCGAGAAAGTGATCCTTGGCTCGAAGGAACAGACGGCGAGTTCGCCGACCCCCGTGCGTTGCTTCTGCAACGACGCGCACTCGAATATTCGCGCTCGCATCAGCTTCTCGATCGCTGGATCGAGTGATTGTTAGTTTGTTACTTTTCAACTAAAAAAAAAAAATAATAATAATAAGTAACTTGATGTAAAAAATGATAAATACCTGAGGACATCATCCACGACTGATTGTTAGGGACTATAATTTCGAGCGATCGTCGGACAAAGGCCTTCCCGAGCACAGCGGCACACCGAACGATGTGTTGCTCGTTGACCGAGAGCCTCGTGAATATTTCCGATGCCAAGCCTGTGAGACCAAGAATTTTGTCACCACTCGAGTAATTTTACCAAACAAACGTACCTTACCACTTATGTCCAGAATCCTGAACTGCTCGGCGATCCTGAAATTCTCGTTAGTCACGCAGACCGGTACCTTGTTCTTTTTGTTCCAAGGCTCGGCAGGCGCTACTTCGTCCGGAAACACTTCAGCCTCTATCCGCGTGCTCAACAAAGATCCCAAGAAAACCAGTGGCTGACTCGTCACTTCGCTCGGAGTTACGTGAACTACGTCGATGCCGTTGCACACGATCATCAGGCTCAAAAACACCTCGAACCATCCGGGTATTTTCGTTCCCGATCTCAGTATGAAGCTGTACACGACGCGAATGAAACATCTTTATCAATGCCCCATGATTCATGAGGTATATATACGGTGATTACTCGTGCAATTCAGTCGACAGAGCTTGGACGTTCAAGAACTGACAGACGAGAACTGGCAGCTGGTCCAACTCCAAGTTGGTCAAGGTCCGTCTGAGTAAACGCTGGTCCTTGCAAATCTCCACCTCGACCCTGGACAGCCTCTGCCAGGACTGGATCTCGAGGATCGTCATGGCCATTATGACGTTTTTGTTGGCCAGAGCATGGGTCAAAAACTGCCAGGACATGTAGTCCATGAAGTGCACGTCGTCGAGCAGGATACACAGCTTTTGATTTTTCTGCAGAAAAGCGACACTATTGGGAAATTTAGCCACCAAGGAGCAAGAAATTTTTGAACGGAGGTTCTGAACCATTTTCAAGATCTTGTCAAAGATGCCGATCGTCTTGTTGTGCCGGTCCCAGTCGCTGTCGACGATGTACTGCTCGGACATCTGGAACTGCACCCGCAGGACTTTGTTCAGGTAGCAAAAGTCCTGCACCGGCAGTAGACTGCTCAGTTTTTTCACGACCTCCCGTTCGAGCTCGACCGTCGATTTGCAATGATCGGCTCCGAGAATCTGATCAAAGTCGATTTATTTTTCGTTGGATTTATAGCTAATGAAAAGCGCTAAATGGGTACCTGCTTCAAAACTTTATGGATTGTCGAGTACGGCTTCATCGTGAACGGGGGATGGAGGGCGACTTTGATCACTTTTATCTGCCTGGCTCTCGCGAGCGTGGCAAACATGTCCAGGACGCGAGATTTGCCTGCCCTGTTCTGGCCCTGCACGGAAAAGTTGGCAAAGTTTGGAGTGTGATTATAGATTTTTTTTGTTACACGTATACCTCGATTACGATGCCAGCGAGACTGCGGTCTGGTAACCCGATGTCGTCCAGTATGCCGCTGAAAAGGTCTAGCTCTTCAAATCTGCCCAGTATGGGATAGGCGGTCTTGAGATCGTGAAGTAGTCGCTCTTCGACTCTTAATTGTTATTAAATATAAAACAGATCACAGATGTGAATTTTCCAAGTAAACGGTGAAAAGTCGTGGTTTCGATTATTTGTAGCAGAGTAATGGCATCTTACTCGGATATGTCGGTGTAAGAAAAAATATATCCACTGGGGTATCCTTCCAAGTCAATTAATTCGGCTAATACAAAGTGTGTCTTCTTCATCTCGCTGTATATGACCGTGTCATGATCGCAGGCGACCTGCACGAAAAATTGACTGAAAATTGTTCTTTAAATTAACATTTACTAAATAAATACCTTGTTGGTCGAGGCGAGCATTATTAGCTCAGCTTTGGTGAACGGAGGTCCGATAAAGGTGTACTGCTGTCGCGCAACGTGTCCTGTCGCCATGCAACACACCATCCCTGTACGGCAAATAATTCATCACGTAAAATGTTACAGGTAGCGACTCATGATGCTATAGTAACCATCGATACTATACTCTCGAAATATTTCAATAGATAACATAAAAAAAAAAAGAAAAAAACTGTTTCAAACGATTGCGAAAATTCACCTGTAGCAACGCCCACGGATACTTTATCTACATCGTTTTCTCGCCTCAATAGGTTCAGCAGTACCCAGGCGCACTTGACGCCAAAACGGCAATAGTTGAGATTCTTCAAATACCCGCGAATGCCGAAGACAATGCGAAACACAATACTCGACTCGTGTAGGCTCACACCTTCGATCCAACCCACGTCCTCGCAAACTCTGGGGAATGTGCGCTCTCGTGAGGCTCGTGTTTCACGAATGGATGTGTATGTGTGTGTGTGTGATCGTTAAATACACATCGAGATATGCTTTCGACGAGGTGTGCGAAGAAATTCAGAGATCGATGTCTCAAGGCGGTGTAAAATTATTTTCAATTACTTTGTGATCATGGCGTGACAATAGTCGGCGAGGAAAATGAGATCCGTGCTCGCCGAAGACGAAATCTCGATCATGGCGATGGTTACTATCTTCATCTCCGTCAAATGTTCTAGAGGTTGGTCGTCTTCGATCTGAATAAAATATCGTTACGTTATTGCTCTATTCGTGACGGTAGACGATCTTTGCCCATTTTTTGACACATCTGTAATACAATGCTAATCAAAGTAATGAGTTGGCATTTACTTTGCACATCTTAGATTACGAATTTGTTAATTATTAATCAATAAGTAGTAGCGACCATGTCAGGCCATTTAATTCATGTTAATTATTTATAAATAAAAAATGTAACGAATAAAAACAGATAATAATTAATAGTAATTGTTACTAAAGTCCAGATTTGTGTCTGTAATAATTCATCATTCATTATTGTGATCTACTTATATGACGTTAGGAAATCTTTTCAACTGTTATGATTGACGGTAATTTATTTTTTGTGAAATCTGAATTAAAATTATGATTCAACTCCATCATTAAATAATAACAATCAATAATTTTTATTAACAGTGGCCATTAATAAATAGTAGTTTTCCTACGAGTTTGAAAAGTCTTTATTTGCGATCCGAGAGGTTTGCGGCCCGAGCCGAAGGCGAGGTCCGTAACGAGGTTCGTGAAGGAGACTTTTCGAACGAGTATCGGAAAACTGCTTTTTTGCCCGAGGAAGTACCAGCCTCCCAAAACCACCCGAGGGCGGAAAAATTATTAAATGACATTTTATTTTAATCTTAAACCTAAGTTTATTTGTTTTTATTATTGATCATTATCACTTATAGTTAGCTGTTCTTTTGTAAAGATTTTCACTTGTGATGTTTTAAATCCATCTATACGTTAAATTCAGGAGATTGTTTTTGTGTCTGTAAACTACTAATTATTTAAATTCCCTAGTTATGACCATCAATTTTTTTTAAAAAGGATTTTCTCACTTACTTGTTTCAAAACTGGTAAAATGACAAAACTCTTGAGGATTTCATCTATTTTGTTTCCACAAGAATCGAGTAACTGAAGACGATCTGGAAAAACAAAGTTAAATAACTTGACGAGCAAATGACCTAAGATTCGAAAACTCACTCTCCAGGATCTTTTTTTCAGTTTCTTTGCAGCGAGCAATAGCCAGGCATTCGCGTTTTTTCAACGTGTTCTGACAAGAAGTTTCCATAGCAGCGATTGCCTTTGAAATTTCTCGATAGTAATGGTGCTTTTTCACTATGGACTCCAATTTTTTTTTATCCGGCTTGCAAATCAGTTCAACGTTGTTTTTACAATCACTGATTTTCAATAAAGTCTGTTTTTCGAGTACTTTGGTTATCTGAAAATTTATCTAATCAATTATTGTGTACTTTTTTTTTCTCGTTTCGAAACAAAGTACACGTGATGCGTACACTTATGTAGTTTTTGTCGTCAATTACGTGAACGTAATCTGACGGATTGCAAAATTTCCAGGCGTTTTTGGTGAGCACTACATCACTGGTGTTGGACAGCTTGATAGCCTTGGTGATGGCAACCATCGGATCTCCAACGACTGTATGGTGGCGGACGTCACTGTTACCGATTTCTACAAAAGTCAGGCTTCCCGCGCTTATGGCGCTTTTTATGAGAACTGATGGAAGTTGACAAAAACGTTATACGTTATGTCAAAAATACATACCTACTTCATTTTTTGGTAAATATTTGGTATCTCCTACACTGAGAAAAAATAAAATAAAAATTATAGAGACATTTCAACAAAAATTATCATTCTTATTACTTTTAACAGTTAAAATTATGGTTTGAATGGTAAAAATTATGGTAAGAGCAGTAAAAAGTACCATGCTGAAACAGTAAACCTTAAGAGAATCGGTTAAAAAATTTTACTTTCCAGCATAGTAATTTTTACTATTCAAACCACAATTTAAACTGTTGAAACAATAATTTTTACTGTTACAAATGATAACTTTTTCCTTTTTTATCAGCTTGCACTCGATTTACCATGTAAATGGTAATTTTGCTGGAATTTTTCTATTTTATTTATTTATTTTTTCTTAATGTAACTAATCATGTATCAGAAGTATGTTGACAGTACATTCAACTTTACGAGACTTTGAAAAATATTTCAAACAAATTTACTTTGAGGATAATAATGTACAACTTGGAATTATATTTAATTTTTCAACAACAAAAGGGCCAACTTGATCGGATTCATTATGCAGTTTAAAAATCGATATTTCGTTTTACCCGCGACAGCTCACTTCTCACCTTCCGACAAGTCAAAGTAGTCGTTTTCCAAGTTCCTCAGAGCTTCCTTTAAAGCAAACGCGCACGAGATGACTTTCCGCATGGCCTCGGGTACCGAGTCACTGTCGTTTTGCTTCCACATCGACAATATCCCGCTATCTGCGACATTAGTGTCATAGCGGGTCGATTCAAAAGAAACACCTCGGAAATCGGAGCTTACTCGACAATTGGAGAACGTCACCCTCGTTGATGTATATCTGCTCGATGAGGGCGCTGGTGCACAAATTGAACATGTACGACAAACCGGAGCTCCCGTTGTTTTGGCAATTGGAGAATCTGTCGAACAGCGCGTACAAACCTAGTAGTCGATAGGAGGTGAAATGATTAACTTTAATTTTGTATAGGTTGTATCATCGAGTAAGTAGGGACGCACTGGATACGTCCAGAAGGAGCAAGATGACAAAGTTGTGCTCAACGAGTTTGGCTTGTTCCGCGATCAGCAAAATCAGCTCGTCCGGAACAAAAGTAGCCAAGAGACTCAATTTTCTTTGGGTTATGCTGTCATACAACGCCTGAAATTTACGAAATACGTTGATTTGATGGAAATTTATTTATTTATTTTTTTTTAATTTCTCCTAACCTGACGCAGGGTAATGGTTTCAGTTTTAAATACGGGGCCCAGCAATTCGGGCGATAATATGGATTCGGGTTCCGCTTCCACTTCCATCTCCATGACTTGATTTTATCGAAAACTCTCAATGTCTATGTTTCAGAGGCAGAACATTGTGCGTTTATTGTACAATACGTTAAAATGTTGGATATATGTCAAAGTTAAAACGTACAATCAGCCGTCAGTTTTTATTTTTGCGTGGTAGATAATATGTGTATCTGTAAAAAATATCATAGCGAAAATTGTCGGAGCCACAAGTACGTAATTTAATGACTTAAAAAAAATAATACTTTG